AAAAGAAAAATTTACAATTCAAACTTTTTTTGGGCCGCAAAATTTACAATTAAAACACTTCCTTAAATTGTACTTCCAATGACTTCTGGTTCTGGGGACAATCCTCCCCCCGAGAAAACTAATTACTTTTTCAAAGTTTATAACTTCCAAGCAAGAAAGTGTCTTGCATAATTTTTCTTAAAAAACTTAATTAATATATTTCTCAAATTTTATATAACACACATATAATAAATGATTCCACTCAAAATATAAGAATTAAACAATAAATAAAAGTTTCAATTAAAAATAATCCTTTGTAAAGAAATAAAGTTATATACAAAGTTTTTTTTTTCTTATTACATCAATCTTTCATTTTTCTTTATTTCTATACTATGTCTCCTCTTCTATAAAAAGTCAAACTATATGACTTTACTTATAAATCAAACCATATAAAATAGATAGAACTCAATTTGATTCAATTTAAATATTTGATGTCAATTTAGTTTTTCTCACTTCTAATAGCCAATGTAAAATTTTATCAAATTTTACAACATGAATCAAAGACGTTATCATGTTAATATTAGATTATTAGCTAGAAGTAATACATACATGACTTGAGTACAATCCATTATCAGAATACTACTATATCTTGTGCAACACATGGGTCTACAACATTACTTAGTTATATATATGAAACCAATCGAAGTATAACAATAATACATGAGAAATTGAAACAATTTGATTAATTTTGAATGAAAAAGATTGATAGGTGAGTATTGACAATGAAACATTGAGCATGGAAGTGTCCATTGTTATTTAGCTGTGAAATGTGACTTCTTGTGTCCTTTTGTTCCCAAATAATTTGTGTTTGTGTGTGTAGGGGCCATACATGACTTGTACTCTTTCTCCAAAATATCATATTCAACCGCCAATTACTTGATTCAACTAGAATAAAAGTTATATTTACTTAACCAAAAATCTCAAGTTGAAATTTTAAAAATATACGAATGTTAAATAATTTGTGATCGGATCACCGAATGTTTGGTTCAACTATAAAGAAAGTTATACCCTCTTAATTAAAATCTTAGGTTCAAGCTCTATGAATGAAATAGTATTAATGGTAGAGCTTTTGCTCAAAAGAATATCTTAACTTGGCTCAATATGAATTAGTCTAGGCACTATTAAAGTCTCTTTAGTTTGACATGGGACATGACCAAAATACTAGGTGTGCTATGAAAAAGATATTCGTGGTAGCGAGGGCTTTGCCGCTCTTTATTGTCCTGTTTGACTCAATTCAGGTTAGTCTAGACTCTTAATAGATCTTCCTGTTAAAGTGAGGTACATCTAGGATATCAGGAGCCATACGCAAAATAAAAAACATCATATTCATTGGAAGACAAAACCCACAAGGCACCTTCATATGTCACAAGTCCCACTTTTGTCTTCCCACATGCAACTCATATGCTCTCCAAATCTTGAAAACTACTCTTCTTGTTTCATTCGTAATTAATTAAATATAACAGAACAAAATTTTAAATACCAAAGAATACTGTGCTTTTCAGTCTTTTTCAATTCAGTTTTTGTCCTCAATATTGATTTTAGTTCATCGTTTTCAAGGTTATATTATGTCCTCAATACTCACTTAGTAAACTATTAATTAGAGTAGTTAAGTGCCATTTAATTTTAAAATAGAAGCCAATGTCGTCAAATTTTTGGTTTAATTAATAAGCATGCAATTCATTCATTTGTCACGAGAGTTTTGGTTCGAACCTCACCCAACTGACCCAAGACCCAATTCGCCAAAAGTAAATAATAAATATAATATAACCTTGGTAAGATTTATTTTTACCAACTTTTTGTGTGCTTGTCCCCTGAAAAAAAAAAAAGGCTCGTAAAAAATAGTTATTTATGAGTTTCACTTTGAATTGGCTCTTTTTTTGGGGGATCAAATTCACTTTGATTTATCCTTTTAAAAAACATCTTTCTTTGTTTTCTTTTTTTGCATAAAAAAAGCAAATTAATTTTTAAATTATAAATCTAAAAGTGTTTGGGATTCTAAATTTATTTTTAATGTAATGTTCTTCTTTAACTTTTGTAAACAGTACAACTTGGCCTTTATCATTAATAAAAATTAAATTTGATTATTAATTAATAAGAGAATAACAGAAAAAGATCTCAAATTTTTTCTTGATATTTTTCTGTAATTTTTGGGTCATTTATTGTGATTTTTTTAGTTCTTTTTTATAATTTTAAAGTCAATTAACTATCAAAATTAAATTTTGTCAACCGTAAGAGTCATATTGCATCATTTTTAAAAATTAAAAAAAAATATTACACCAAAAATATTTTTAGGGTCCTAAACACTTCTCGATTTATCGGTTAAAAACAAATTTTCTTTTTACCCTTGTTTTTTTATATGAAATTTTTTTAGTAAATTAGGTTCCTCAAGCTCACCAAGATTAAAAAATATCTTCATGTTCAAAAAACGCTTGTAAAAATATTTTTAATGAACAAGGTTTTCACATTGATAGTGTAATTTAAACCCATAATTTTTGATGTAGTTACATCATTATTTAAAGTCATATTTCATTTTTTTATGATAAAAAATTAATTTTTATTAAAATATGTGAAATGATTGAAAATATTCTATAATAAAAATTGTAACCAACATAGTAGGTACTTTTACCAATGCCTCTTTTTTGTTTTTGGGCAAAAATATGCTTGGATTCTTTGACTTTATGTAAAGTAATATTTTAATTTTATAAAATATTTTTTTAATCTTGTAGTCCTAACAATTGTTAGTTTTATTAAAAAAAATATGACATTGAAATTTTAAACAGACTGTTAAGCTTAATTTTTTAATATAATATAAAAAATTATCATTTAAAACTAATAACATTAGAATTAAAGAGTTAGACAGATGTTGTATAAAATTAAGAAACTAAATTAAAATGATTAAACGTATACTTTTACATTTTTCTTTTACATTAATACCCTTATTTGCGTGTGACCCAACTTTTAACCAACGCTTTTTATTTTTCTTGCGTGTGCTTTGGCATCAAAAATGGTTATTTGAGTTTCACTTTGAATCTTTTTATACAAGAAACCTTTTTGCCGAGGAATTATCATCCACAATGAAGGAACACATAAGAACTTAGTAAAGCAAGAAACAGGCCTCATAGTTACCAAAATGTATAGATACACACTTTTGAGGCCATGCAAGTAATTGTTTTTTTTTTTTTTTCAAAGTACAAGGAAAAAGTTCTGTTAATAATAAAGATTATTTCCCTCGAGAGTAAGGGCAAATGATAGATTTTTTTCTATTACAGAATGAAATTCAAACTTTTAATCATTTACTTAAATGACAAGAATATTTACCATTCAAGTTGGTATAAAGTACTTTTTTTTTTAATTTTATATATACTTCTTTTCTTCTTATATATAAGAGATTTTTTAAATTTTTTTTATCCCTAAATATAAGAGGTTGTTAGTATATTTTTTAATAAATAGATCATTATACCTTTATTAAATTGAAAAGAGAAAAAAATAAGTACTCTCGTCAATTTACTTTAAAAAAAGAGAGTTATTTTTTATTTACAATAATTAGGAGAAAAATTAAAATGTTATTATGCTTTTAATTAGGTAACTAATTCTTATTAGTTTGCGTGATTCGATTAAAAATATCCAATATACAGGAATGGAAGGAGTAAGTCACTCTTGATTATTTCATCAAAATAAAGAAAAAATAGTTAAATTATTGATGTTGTTTGAAAAAAAATTTCACTTTATCCTTATTATATATATTATCTCTAAAAATATTTTCTCCCTCATATATAACACTTTACTTTATTCATAGAAAATTGTGAAAGAATAAAATTAGAATAAATTAATTTATGATATATCGTTTTATGCAAAGTAACTTACAAAAAAGACCAACAATAAACAATAACTTGTCCTGTATATATAGGATTGGAGAAAGTATCCACCATGTTTTTGGCATAAAAACCAATGGTCCCTCAGGATCCTCTAAACAAGTAAACATTTTTTTCCCCGAGCAAGTATCATCTACAGTGAATAGAAGCACCAATAATTACAGCACAAGTCAACAGATCACCTAGTCCCAAACCTACCTCAAAAAATTAGCATTCTTCAGATCTTAATAATTTCCCAACGTAATGCATGACGTTCTTAATACAGGTTTTACTTAAACACGTCAATGAGACAATGAGCAGAAACGAACCTAAGCCATGAGTCAACTACACTGTTGAAGCATCCCCAGAAAAAAGAAGAGAAAAAAAAGGAACTCGAACCTTGGCCAAATGATGGCTATGAAGACTCATTTTTCATTAATATTTTCTGAAATGAAAAACCAGTCAAAGTTGTAGTAAAGTACTTTGTTGAAGAAACAATTAGCTTTGTCGGAAAATTAGGACAGGTTGACATAATTAGTGGTTACAATAAAGAGATGATGTCTGTTGATTATTTGGACTTTAGAAAGCAGAGAGACGTTGTCACATGATATGGTGGGAGACACAGTAAAAACTTTGACAAAATTCCCACCAGCCACAGCTCACTTATTCATCAGCTTCTTTCAAATTCTAACTACTTTTTTTTATTTTTTTATTAAGCAAATAAAAACAAAGTTTGCCTATTGCATTTGTTTGATTACGCTGCCAACCTTTGGTTTTCACTGGTCCTGCAGCACTTGTTAGACATCTGAAATTCCAACAGAAATGATTATATGTGAATTTTTTTTCATTCTTTAAGAGCTCAGGGAAAAGAAATTTCAGACTACTTTGCAATAGATGGAGAAATACGACAAACTAGTATCTTAACTGAAATCAAATTGTGGAGTAACTACCTCATGAACAGAAGAATCAAAGTATTGAAACCAAACCGATTATTGAACTGGTTAAATGATTGATTTAAGGGTTAATGGATTGAATGAAGTCATTGAAAACTGAGCCAGTCATCAAACCATTCAACCTATCAGTTTAGCCAGCTTACAGTGAGTCAATCAGTTCACCAAAAGAATAGTTTAAACGCAATTCTGGACCTGCCATCTGATCAGTTCACCAGTTTATTATCCGGTTTTCAATACAATGCTTGCAAGTCACTTGAGACTAATTCAAATGGGAAGGGTGGTTGTGGAGCGTAGGGAGAAGCCTAAAGTACAAATCTTCCTGGTGTAACTGGAAAGAAAAAACACAATATATATATATAAAAAGAATTTTTTTACCATCTGGAATTAGCTTTTGTAATACTGATAAGGGTTAGGTTAGGTGCGAGTAATATCTAAGCTTTTGATTTCGGGCCACTTCGTAACATCTAGGATTGAAACCCATTCTAATCTAATTTAATTAGATAAAAAGTATCTTATAACACTAGTAATCGCTTTTATATTGACACCATCTTTGGAAGTCGTCGTCGGCATCATTATCACTTTCATTAGCTTTCTCAGCACTATGAAATGACTCATTATCTTCCTGATCTTGCACAGCTCCGTCTTGCTGAGGTTTTGCATCGCTCTCTTCCTGCATCCAAACAAAACGGTTGTTAATTCGCAAGGCTTGTTATGATGGGGGTAGGCCCCACAAAACTTTAAATGAATGGTTCAACAAAATGTTATTAATCAAATAATTTTAAGGGTAAGACTAGTCAGCTTTGAGAAATGAGTCAAATGACGATTATTATGATCTATCTTGGCTTGGCACTATCTCGGTTATGATCGCAATCTGATCATCAAGCGGGCTTCAAGCTGTTCCTAGAAGTTTATTGGGCTTTGGTTTCAAAGATCGTCGAAGGTTGACACGTGTAGGACCCAAGCCCGGCCCGGCCCATGATCAGTTTGTGCAATTGACAAAGGCTAGTTGTTAGTGATGTTTTCACTAATCTCTGCAATATCAATCATCTCAGATATGATTCCGTGATCAGGGTTTCCTCAAAACATGAATTGAATGATATCGGTGCCTGAACCAAGCAAGTCATTTTCTGACAGTACCCATACATCTAGTTATTTGGACAGAACATTGTTTTCCGGTAAAATGAGATTTAAAGACCCCTTAAGAACATTAATTACATCTAAAGAACTTGAAATTTTGAAATTTGAGATAAGGTTCATGATCTTTGGTTGGAATTAAAAAATTTGAGTTAATTTTTTTTCAATACTTATACTCCATATTTTTAGCATTTATCTTCTACATTTTCCATAGTGTCATCTTAGGCGTTTTCAATGCTCATCTTTCATGTTTTCAGTATTGAAAAGAATCAAAATAAGTGCTGAAAATATGGAAGATGAGGATTGAAAACGTTTAAGATGACTATTGAAAAACTAAAGATTGAATACTGAAAATGCTAAAAATGAATAAAGAAAATGTGAAATATGAGTACTGAAAATTTAGAAGCCAAGGATTGAAAATGTGAAAAAAGAGTACCGAAGAAATTCACTTAGAAAATTTTAATTCCGACCAAGGACCATACTCCTTTTCTGAAATTCCAAAATAACAAGATCCTTAATTGTAGTTAAGGTTCTTAGAGGGCCCTTAAATGTCATTTTCCCATGTTTTTTTAAGAAGAAAATTAGCATGCCGGCCATCTTGCATGTTTGTGAGCGCATGATGAATAAATTGAAGCCAAAGGAATCATCATGATCAGATGAACTAGAATAAATGTACACATGGAAGTAAGTTTCACATAAACAATCAGGTAACTGAGGCCAGGCCAGTAATGTATATCACTGCAGGGATCTGTTCTGTCCCACACACCAACTGGCAAACATCATGCAGCATATACAAGATCATTTTCTAGTAGGCACTATATTCTAATACAGAAAAATTTTCGGTTTCTGTTCAAAGAATGTTATTGAAATAAAACTGGCATGCTATCAAAAAAATGGCAGAAACTACTTGCACCAAAAGAAGAAAAATGTCAGAAGATAAATCAAATGGGCCAAAGGGACATACATTAGGATTAGGATTAGGATAGGATGTCATGCCCACCACTTCTTCTGTTGTGTCAACTGCGGAATCTCTTCTAGGGTCTTGTTCTGTCTTAGCAGAAGCTAGTTGCAGCCGCTCAATAACCGATTTAAAATGAGAAGATCTAAAAAAAGATAAGTGTACAGTTTTGCTCCCGTTAGTTTATATTCTTTCATCAATGGGTTACAAACAACAACAACAACAGGCCTTACCCCATGAACCAACTAATCATTTAATTACTATTTGACATGATTAACTCAATAACCGATATTCTTAAAAGGCCTCTCATGCATCATTTCTGGAAAGTTTTAGAGCAGCAGATAGTCATCAAAGCATTGAAGCCAAGAGAAAACGAACTCAACAAAGCAAACAGGACAATATAACTAATTTTACCCGGTAATATAACAAACAAAATAAAGTGGCAAATATAAAGAAAATAAAGGCTAACAGCAGCCAATGAAGGCAACAACCAGAAATTGTAGTCACAGATGGAGTAGAAGCGCTAGACATAGCAAACATTACATAAAATATTTTTAAAATGATAAAAAAGATTAAAAAAAAGGAAAAAAAAGCACAGCATAAAAGTGATTTGCAATAAAGAGTTACAAGACTAAAGAAAAAAAATCCCTCACTTAACATAAAAAGGCACCATTATGAAGCAACCGAAACATCACAAGGGTCATAAGCACAAGTCACTACCATAAAAAACAAATAAATAAAGGTACAAATGAACTTTGGCTCAGTTGAATTGGAACCAAAGAATCCAAGTTCAAATCACAGTGAGAACCTAATCGACCGTTGATGCTACATTGGGCATGAAAGGTTTGAGAAATGGAAATGGTAGTAGAGTCATAAAAAATACAATTGCATTCACATCTAAACCCTAACTAACCCTTAAAGCTTGAAATGCCATTCCTTTCAATGAAGCAATCAACCCGTCAAGGAGCAGTACTGGTTTGATCAAGCAATTTATAATCCAATAGTCAATGAAATCAAATAAACAGTGTCATATGGTACATTGTAGCGGGTTTTAATCTTCTACTATAAAGTTAGACTACCATAGATCGAGAAAGTAAATGCCTCTTCTGATCACTACAAGATGGATAGTTTGATGATTATAGCGACACAAACTTGTTAAAATAGGAACAATTATTAAAGAGAGCAAATAAAAACTCAGAAAAGTAGAATCACTCTTAATTGGGGAAAACCTTTGGAAAATACATATAGCACAGAAAATGTAATCATCATGCAAAGAAAAAACAGACCAAAATAGTAAGCAAAGGTCTTAACCTTTCCCACGATTATTTACAGCATCAGATAGGAGTAAAGGATGTTGACGTTCTTCCTGTTTGTACTTTAACTTAATTTGATGACGCGTTCGACCTGGGAAAAGCTGTTGTATCATAGAAAAATCTGTGCCAAACTGCCGAACAGCCTGAGTTTTTTTTAAAAGAAGGTATAAATTAGTCAATTTATTGTTAAGAAACGCCCTTCCCACAAGACATTGCTACTTGCATCAAAGACAAACTGTTAGGGAAGACATTAGTTAGAGTGAGTTGTGAAACCAGATTGGCATCAAGTTTAGCAGCTTTAGTCATAATTTTAAGGTTAAATATAACTTTTGGTACTTGTACCTTACTTGCGTTTTGCTTTTGGTCCCTATACTTTTTTTTTTGGTGTTTTAGGTCCCTACACTTTTGTTTTCCATTGTTTTAGGTCCTTCCAAGATTCTTATACTTTGCTTATAGAGGGACTAAAAAATGGAATGGAAAACAAAAGTGTAGGGACCTAAAATACCGGAAAAAAAGTATAAGGACCAAAAGCAAAACGCGAGTAAAGTATGAGGATTAAAAGTTATGTTTTTCTTAATTTTAACTATCAAACACTGAACACATATGAAATAAATTCCATTAAAAAAATTCAATGTAAATTTCCTTCTATAAATACCTCATAGAACAGTTCAGTGTCTTGTTTTGACCATTTTCCTCTAGGTTTCTTGTCCATGAAAGACTGGTAATTGAATAAACTCGGAGCCAATGGAACACTTTCATTAGCTTGGTCATCATCTGAGCCTCTACCGTATTCTGAACCCAAAATGTCTTCATTATGAGCAGCAGCCTCATGAAGGGAGCCTCCATCTCTGCAGATAATTATTTCCAAACAGATATCTATTTATTAGGCTGCTTTTTATTGATATTAAAGTCATAACAAGCAGTAGTTATGTGGCCAACTTCCCATAAGTTGATTCCCCTTTCACTTGTGCGTTTTCCCTCCTAAATAAGGGTTAATAATACTAATTTATGAAATGCCTTTGATGAATGCATCAATACAAACAACATAATAACCTCATATAGGAGTTATATTTAACATAAAGCCTGATAAATTTGAAAATTATAATATTTGATGTAGCACTGTATAACAGTGGGTAGAATAAAAATTAACCCCTTTAATACAAATAGCCTTTACTTAGAAATGCATTATATTCCTCCAAATTTGTCATGCTATATTAATTTTTGGAAAAATAAAATTCCCACAGACTAGAGGAAGAAAACCTCAACCACTCTAATTTTTGTTATATGGTTTATCATCCACAAGAAAATGACGTTAAATATTTAGTTTTACTGTCTCATGTACAAGGAAAATTAATTTTAAGTATGGGCAATATTATTTCTAGATAATACTAGGGGTAAATACTATTTCTAGTATTCTCTTCTCCTTATTTTTTCCTATCTAAACAAAGCATAAATAGTTGAGTTTATACAGCACAACGCTTGCATTTAAAAAAGCAGACAATATGTAAATGTAGATTGTATCAACTTATCCCATAACGCCTAATATCATTAGCAGTAAATAATATGTAAATGTAGATTGCAACCATTTGGGTGTAGCAGCATGGATACAAAGAAAGCAACACTATCAAACATAATAAGGTTATACAAAATATCTCATTTTGTCTGCTGATGTACTCAATTTTTATCTACCCCAACAAAAGTAACAATAAAAAACGCAGTGAATTAATGGCATTGACCAGCAATTGTAAGTTCAAAACTATTTTGAATCTTTCTGCCAAACTTCACAAAACTATTGGAACAGACAATGTCAGTAAAGCCACATGCAGTGATGGATCTAGCAGCTAGCATGTGGGGGCCAAAAATAAAAAATTTACATTAAAGGTGGGGGCTAAAATTAATTTCAACATTTTTCACAAATAAACAAATTTATAAGAGAATTTTTAGATAGGGGGCATATGATTTTTTTTTTTACATGATCTGGGGGAGGGGAGGAACTTCCATGATCCGATAATTTTCACATCTCAGATGCTGTACTAAGAAGTGTAGGAATGCATAGCAATGAGAAGGAGATAATACAGAAAATAAGATGTTTCAAACATTACATATTTGAAGATAAACAAATTTTGATACTTATGTTAGTTTCATATAAACAAAGATTGATGTATTGAGCACCTTTCATTAACTGTTTTTGATGCCATTGCCTCCTTTTTCTGCATAGAGAAACAATACGGAATTATTAGTGAATTATCATATTTAATTCATAGTAGCAACATGTAAGAAGCGTGGTAATAAAATACAGTAGTATAGAGGTGCTGCTTGCTTTTCTTTTTCCACATACGTAAGGTTAAGAAATCAGAATACATACCGCTAGCCGCTCCCTATGTTCTGCAAGTAGTATAATATCTTTGATACGTAATGTTTGAGGATCCAGTTCATCCTCAGGAGTCTCCAGCAAAGTCTTGTCCACTATTAAGCAAAGTAATTCCACAATCATCAAATGCATCAAACCATTATTACCAATGAGAAAATTTAAGATACAGTTAGTTTAGCAAGCCACCACATCTTTTTCTTCGTTGGGTTGAATGAGAGAATTTTTTGTGAGGTTCTTTAGTAGGTTTATCACAATCCTCATTGGCCCTTTTATGCTTTTGTGGTGGTTTTCCATTTTTTGCCACAGATTTCTTCTTTGAACTAGATGCTCTTTTCTTCCTGCATCCATTATCCAAACTGAATTCTTCATCATGGTCTTCAAGTTCATCTACGTTAGAGTAAGTAGGGTCAAGCTCATCCTCCTCCTCAGGATCCTCATTCTGTGCTGGATCAACATGTTTAAAAGCAACTCGCTTTCTCACCTGCCTCAAAGGTTTATCCACTTTATCCTTCTCACTTGCTACAGAAGATTTCATGTGACTTTTTGGAGAAATTGACATGGTGGCATCTTTTCCTTTATAACTGCCATCCTGAAAACCAAGAAAAATGAACCAAAAAAATAGTATGCAATCAGACTCACATATCAGAAAAATGAGGAAAAACATAATTCAACGAACATATGTGCATGAAAAATAATAATAACTGATGTTTTACAACTTTTCCTCCAGGAACATCTTGCACATGCAAAAAGTCATCATAAGTAGGACTGTTGGCTGTATTCATAGGTTCTTCATGCACTGGAATTTCAAAATTTGGATCCAGGCCAGAATTCATGGATGAATCATCAAGGGTACCATCAAGAGGTTGAGCAAGGTTTGATCCCCCTACTTCCTGAGCCCATTAAAAATCATAATAAATTGATTAATCAACACATAGAACTAGAAATTAGCACATCTGTGTGATCAAGTATCTTTACCTGTTCTCCTAACCTTCCATTGCCAGTGTGAGAATCACCTTCATTGAGGCCCGCAACTTCCTTTAAGATCAGTGAATCATGAGTGGTCTTATAGTCAGGACGCTGTTGAACCTGGGACATATGACATGCCCGATTGGCAAAATCCTTTGTGCCCTTCTCATGGATAGAATCAAGTGCTGGATTTACTACAAGAGAAAAATAGCATCCCCATCATCAATGAAAGAATCCAATGTCAGGCAAATCATAGGCTGAGAGCCAATCAATCATAACAATGGGGAAATTTGATTGCAGTAAAATAGTTTAGATAATGAAATCTAAAAGAGTTTATATAATTATTACAAGTCACTTGTTAGAACCATGGTTATCAAATGATTGCAAAACTTTTGATAATTTACCTGCACTAGAAGCATCTTGTGTGAGAAAGTCACTGAAGCTCTCCAGCACAGAAAATATGTCTGTAGTCTGAAAGTCAATGATTTTACTTTATCAACATAGAGAAAAATAATTAACACTGAAAAAAACAACATTAATTCTTCTTTTACCTCTCCAGCTGTCTTTCCATTGCTTGAAGGCCAATCTCTAGGCCCATCCGGAGCAGCACCCTTGATAGCATGGCAATTGGAGGCTCTGAAGGGATTACTGCTCCCAAGCTTCTTGTGTCCTTAGACACCGGCACACTTGAGCATGAATTATCCCTATCACTCAATGAATTGGTTCTACAGAAATCTGTCGTGGGTAAAGTTAAGTAGGTTGACTGTTATGTTTATTTGAGAAAGAAGCAAGCAACTTAACAGATTTTTCCATCGTACCATTAACTGAAGCAGAAGCAACAACTGCTGCAGTCCCTACTCTAGGCCGAGGCTTAATCTTTGGTTGAAACTTGCGAGCTGTAATAAGAACAAATAAAAAATAATTTAGCCTTTTAGTGACACTAATACACAGTTATTGCAGACTGATAATAGCAGGAGGATTGCTAACCATTCCTAAGACCAGGATCAGGGAGAGTGTTTCCAAAAGGATCCAAGTCAAATTCAGCAGACTCTACCTAAACAAAAATTCGTCTATGAGTTGACAAAAAAAACACCATGTAAAGAATAGAACAAAAAATTATACCTCTCCTGCTCTTTCAAGGCTAGAATTTGAATGACTGTTCTCCAACATTGCAGCCTTACAACCTGAAGCACTTTGGGATGCCACATCAGGACCAGCTTGCAATGCCAATGAAGCATCAATACGTTCCAAACATTTGTGGACATCAAGAAATGGACCTTCACCTTCCCAATATTTAGAAGGTTCTTCATTCTCAATAATGGTTGAGTTAGCTGTAGATGGATCAATCACATTTCTAAATAGATCAGCTTCAGCTTTAGCAAGTTAATGTGGTTGTATATACCGTCAAACACATAGCAAAAATGAAATCAAGATGGGTCAAATATTTTATAACTTACTTAGTATTCTATAAAGTATCTAAACCCCTACAAATCAATTTATGAGCCAACTTTAATCCTTTGCTCACTGGTTACTCAAGCTTAACAAACATGTAACTCATAGACTAAAGATTTTATACAAGTCAAAAGCGATTATTTTTGAAGTAGCTCTGGTCATAGCAATCAGAATAGGGTTTCATTCAAATACATGTAGATGTCAAAAGCATAATTTACCATTATGGAGGTTGGTCCCAGGAATAATGTCTGCTACTGAACTCACATCAAAACCAACAGGGTCTGCCTGAAAATAGAAGAAATTTCAAGGAAAAAGAAGTTACAAATACTCCAGACAGAATGAATCAAGATAATAATCAAACACAGCATTTACCTCATTAGCTGCTTTTGGAAAATTGGTGGAATGCCAATCACTATTGACCTCAGATGCTGTAATAGTTGAATGCTGAGCATCCACCAAAACAGCATTACATCCGCTCACATTAACTTGCTGAAAATCCTCCAGGTCAGGATTATTATCATCCAAAACTGGGATTTCTACAGGTGAACTATGACTGGATTTCAGAAATTCTTTAGCTGATGTATCTGGAATTAAATCAACTGGATTACTACTTTTTCTTGGGGCATTTCCTACAGTGTCCAAGCTTGTGGATGATGGTGCAACATGCTCATTCTTTCCATCATTAGAGGTTACTTGATTTGATGTAGATATTTCCTTACGAGCCAGTTGTTTAGCTTTGGCCTTTGGAATAAACTTGCCACCCGCCCGAGCTACAAAAGATTGTGATCAGAATATCTACTAGAAATATAATCCAGAAAAACAATTTCCCAGTACCTTTAATTGGACCACTTACCACGTGAAACAGGAGCTTCTGAAAAAACATCATCAAATGGATCCATGGGCCAGGCAAGCACTAACAGTAACAACTGACTACAACAGCCTAAAACACTGCCTCCTAGCAAGGGTCCAATCAATCTGACAAAGCCTAACAGCCTTTCAATGAAATAATCTTAAGCTGCAAAACCATAAGACTGAGCGTCCAATAAGCAGCAGATAAAGTATCAATGGATTTAAGACTTATTTTCACAGAGTAAAATAAACCCACAAGACAAGCTTATAATGATATAATACAATCAAACAAGCACAAGGAGTAAAATAATGATTGGTAAGCCAAAAATCTTGAACACAGAGCAGCTATGCAACCAAAAGAAGGACCCATCATTTTTTCTAGCCTGTATATGCTTCCATAACTTGAACCCCAGTATACCTCTAAAATTTAAATCCCCAGACATGGCCAAGGGAGCAAAAGATGCCTAGTATTTTGTAGCTTATTTTAAGGTAGATGAAAAAAACCCTTATGGCACATAACCTCAAACAATTTGAAGCAATGGGCCAAAGCTGAAAAAATATGATATATGAACAAAAGTAAATAAATAGATACAAACTTGGAACAGCATTTAAGTCATGATAATCTTCAATGTGCTACTTAAGTCACTAACATAACTACTTAAGCATAATGATATAATTAAATTTAACCCATAACTCAATAATATTTAGAGATCTTATAAAGTCATTATTTAAGCCATATGTAAAATTATAAAATATAACTTGACAGCTCTAAAATGAGAGTGTCTATGTCCCATGTGGTAGCTTAATTTTCTTGTGTTTGTTTACAAAACCATCAAAAACAAATAGCATAATGATTGTTTTAAAATAAGAATAATCATTTTACCGTACTCTTTCATCTTTAAGGCTGAATTGGTATACCAAAATTGGGCTTTGTAATTTCATATTTTATCCTACCATTTATAAATTTTGACTAGGTTTATAAGCGAGCTCTTCTATTTTTTCTTCCAAACACACAGAGGCACATGAGGCACTGAGCTGAACAGCACACAAAAATAAAAAATAAATAAAAAAGAATACTAAAGCACTTGCCTAGCAATGGTTGAGTGAAGTAGCACCTCATGGTGTCAGAAGCGCTAGCCTTGAATAGTGTCTCCCCTCAATATTTAAGAGGCACCTCCTTTGACAAGTATTTTCACCTTGAGCTACTTTAAAAACCAATAAAGCAGTCACTTTTACCAATACAACATCGGGTTGAATGTTTTCTCTATTTCACACTTCTTATTATACTTTTGTTAACAATAATTGTATTTCCTATCTAGCTGACTGCTGCAACCATGCAACCAAGCTCAGGTTGATTATCTAAGTAGAAATCTATGAATTTAATTCAAATTTACAGGTTGCAAGTTGCAACTAAACTTGAGAGAAGTTTCTTCTACCTATCGTACTAGGGATGATACATCTTTCAGGATTGAAAAAGACTAGAAGTAGAGCCATTACATAATGTTAATATTTGCCAATTGCTTAGTTTAAGGAAACTTTCGAGATCAACTTTCAGGAACCAACAACTAAATATGCTTGACACGAGGGATTGATGAGCATAAGTTAAGGAGATTGCAGACAGCCATTGGCTTGCTCATAAATCAAATTGTTCCTCATTGACATAGTGGCCAAAAAAATCACAACAATGCTATTGTAATTAAGTAAGCTTATTTCTTAGTACTGGGAATGTTTAGATTTGAAAACGAAGCAAGAAAAGGTGCGATGGCATCCGACGGAGGGTCGACAATGAACAGATGACGCGTGGAACAAATTCAAATCTAGTTCAAAACCAGACTAAACAAATCAATCTCACCGGATTTTGGGAGGAGGTAAAGCTCGTACCTTCTTCAATACTTGCCGGAGAACAGCCACGCAGGGCCAACAACGGTGGGCGGCGTCCGACGGCGAGCTCGACCAAGTGTGCAATGCCGAACAAAAACTGAATCCCGCGACCCACAGCAAAAGGGAATGGGGTTTTGAGGTTGATAAATTATATCGTCATTCACACTAGACGGGCTCGTAGCGCAGCGGCAGACAGTTCCTCCTTGCTAGCGTCCCCTCGCGGTTTCGATACGCATATGGCAGCATTTATAATTGTCATTATTATTATCATTTATACTACGGCTAATAACAAATTATTGAAGAAGAAAACTGAAGTATTTAATATTATATATTTAATATATTTTTTTTAATTAAATTGTGATTAAATTTTAATGTGTTAATAACATTAATAATGAAAATGGTTATAAAATAAATAAAATAAGAAAGATTTACATTTGTTGAATTAATTAAAACAAATACTTTAAATATATAATATTAAATATATAAGTTTTTTAATAAAAATTACTGTGTATGTGTTTACTCTTTATTTTTTTTTTAAGTTATACAAACCCTTCCCCCCCATAGAAGGAGTCCCATGTAAAGACCTCCGTCATGAATCATTTAACATCCTAAAATTAATTTATAAATTTAAATTAATTAATTAGGTTAATCAATTAATTAATTAGAATAATTAGAAATTAATAATTGAATTTGGATGGTCATTCATGTCTATTGAGCCCTCTAAAGGGTTTGGAATAAGGCTTTTAAGGTTATTGAGTTAAGTTAAGCTCAGAAATTTAGGTTTAAATGGAGTTGCTTATTTTAGGTTGTTCAATGTGACAAATAGAGTAGTAAAAATTTTAAATCATAGACTCACGATCAATTTTTATTTTGTGAAGGGGTTTTGAATTTTGTGGTCGAGAGAAGTCGAAAGGCTTTGCCAGGGTTTATATCAATGGACCTTAGAGGCATTTTGGAGGCTTTTACAACCCTGGGTAAGCCTTATTCCTCTTTCCTCTACCTGTGTTTGCTTCATTTTCTAGTTCAAATTCATGGAAAAGTAGCTATTTGAATAGATGAAAAAAATATAGCTTTTAGAGTGACTTAAATGAGCCATTTTTTAAGAGTCATTTAATGCTTTTACACCTAGGCCTTCATGGTTAGTAGCATTAAATGTCATTAATGAGGGGTTTAGAGTTAACCAAATCCTAAATAATTAAGTTTAAGTTAATAAGAGTTAATGTTAATGATTGGACTTGATGAGAGTTAAATAAACTGATGAAGTTAGTTTTAAGATTAGATATGCTTAATTACATTTACTGAAGGATTAGGCTTTAATCATGATGGAGGGATGGTTAATGATGATTGGTCATTGATGCTATTTTAAAATAAACGTGGCTCAATCAATATTTAATCTACAAGATTAAATACTAATTATTAATTTATAACTCTAATTAAACCCCCTTTTGACTAAATTTAGGTATTCACAATACTCAAATTTCCTCTTTAATATAAACAACGCTCCCAATATATTCCATTATTCTTATCTAACATCCATAGACCTAGATAACATCAAATTAAACCTCACATTATTCTCAATCTTTAAATTTTCATGTAGGTTCATCCAAACCCTATCTAAAAGCTTAAATCACCATATAACCATCAACCCTAGTCTTATAAACTTAATTTAACTGTCTAAGGCTCCATTTAAGCCAATAAGTATGGCTAAAACACTCTCATGGCCAAAAACAATCTCCCACAACACCATTTAAAATTCAAAACATAAGAAGGTAGATGGAGTGTAAGGGAGGCTTACCCAATAAGAATCAAGCTCAAAATACTCCTGAAGTGACGTTGAAATAAATGCCCTAGTAGAGATAAGTCGAGCTCCCTCTGATTTTCTTTTCTTTCCTGCTCCTTTGTTCTATCTCTCATAATAGAAATAACCAAAATCCGAGCCCATTCGTTACAGCATACTATGCCATCTGAAACATACGGCTTACTAATTACAATTATCATTCCAAATACATGGTAATCAATAGATCAACATATAAAGAGATTACAAGTTTGTAATTTGAAATAATAGGATCTTAAGTTTTCATAATTTAAAAAAATAAGTCAAAACATTCATTAAACCTTTAATCAAAGTAAAATTATGTAACGAAAGTGTCTAAACCCTTTTCAAAATTATTTCTAAAACAAAAATTGAACACCCTTTTCAAAACTTACACTTTTACAACAATTTTTGCAAAATCAAGTATCTAAACCAAATACCAAAGGCCGCTAGTCATCGACACCAATTTGACTACATACAAATCATTAACACTTACTCGTATAATACACCATATCACATAAAATGCTCCCAAATTAAATTTTTACTACTCAACCTCTTAAACTCAAAAACATAAAAAGGGGGAGTTTACCACAATTCTCATCAAGTTCTCCCAATTCATCTCATAATATGCTCTATTTTCACTTGTATTAGTATTTTGACTCTATCACAATAACACATATTCATCAACTCACTCCCTAAGGCCTAAAATACACTTATAATTTACAATTCACATAATGCAAGTAAGGAATGAATAAGAATTCCTAATTGACAATTGAAATTGTCATACACATATAATTTCTTAAAATAAAAAAGCCTACTGCAAAAGAATCATAGTCTTAAGCCTTTGGGTGTTTTCCTGTATCCACACCTCTTGAGCTATTTCTTGTAATATTAAAAATGAAGTGAGTGCAACTACTCAGTAACTAAGATTTGACTAACACATACTAATGCATATTAATTGGTTTAAATGCAAGTGACAATTAATGTCAATACTTTAACCTATGTAAAATATTAAAAATAGATATTCACAATTTGACTCGCATAATAGCATTTACTTGAGAAATAATATTTTTTAACTCTTTTCATATAAAGAGAGTTAGTCACACAATTTATTGACAAATACATTAGAAAAAAATTAAGACTCAACTCATGATATCATCATTAGGGACACCATATAGACAATAGGTGCCTTTACTCACTGTATGCATGATCACACCTCCCTTATGTCCTCCTTATTCCTCTAACATGAAACCGTGGGCTATAACTCAATGGGATAGTCTGTATTCCATGACTTTCCTAGCTTAAATACTTGTGAGGGGATTATTCAGCTAAGGCGCACCCAACTCACTTATGGAACATGGTTTCCCCTATTTCTCACACTATAGGGTGTCATACATCCTACACTATCCTCTCATTGAACTAGTGAATAGTTAGCTAGGTTCGAGTCCCTCATTGAACTAGTGGGACAATCCCTTATTGAATAAGTGACACAATATAGATATAATTAATCTGGCAAACCATCTCACGGATGGGCCTTACTACATAGATTTTATCATCTACTCCTCTTCCTAGACGAACTCCCGCCTTTCAAGATCATGCAATGCACATTCATGCCATACTTCACATATATACAATTTAAAGGACTTCACATTATCAATTTTCATTAAACTTCATCAATACACAATCATTAGACTTTTAATCACATTTTCATAGAACTTCAAACCAAACAAGTCATTGAATTTCATCAATACACAATCATTGTACTTTACACTTTTAAAACCATTGAACTTTACTATTTTAAACATCGTTGAACTTCTCACAAACAAAGAATCATGTTACTTCTCAATTCACAAAATCATTGAACTCCCAATAAACATAATACGAAAATCCACCGATTTTGTTCTTAAGGAAATTTTGCATCACAAGGCATAAAATTCACAAATTTGATCTAGTGGATTTTCTAACAAATCAAGCCATACTTGCATTACTTTTTATTATGCACATTTTAATGACAAATCATAAATTCATGAACTAATAAACACACAAAAGCATAAGATGTAATTCTCCCGGTTACCTTAAACCTTTGAGAGGTCAAAGATTTTACCCCTCAATTACTCACTCCTAAAGCTTCCAAGAAGCTTGAATGGTGCCAATGGTAGTTACTTTACAAGTATTTACTATACAAAATATTAATTTCCATTTTTGAGCTATTTTTTACTAACACTTCATTATTTCTTAATACTTAAGATTTATTCTTGACTCATGTAAAAGTACCCATAAGGCTTCTTAGTTTCCTTTAACTCTCATTAATAACATTGATCTCTTAAATGAGTTTTAATAAAACCATATTGCTTCCAACCACCATATTTATGAAAATTTTCGAATATTTAATGTCCTCTAACCATTAATCATCATAAAACCATTAATACTAAATTTACTTAGCTCAACCTACTCTTATTAACTTTATTTAAGTCAATAGGTTTAGATCCATAACTTCTATGAACCAAAAATCACTATTAACAAACAAACATAACCTCTACCATTAAAATGGAAGAAGAGAAAAAAATTTAAGTAAGAAAACTTACCTTTAGTATTTAGGAGCTTTAAAATACTCCTAATAATCAGTTCTCCTAAGGCCTAGCACTACTCCTTCGTTCTTTTCATTTTTCTCTTCTTCTTCTCTATTTTTCTCATACAGATATGAAGCCAATATATCAAAATTTTAGCCATGCGCTGCGGTGCACGTTGCCCTCCGCCACAACACATGACACAGAGGAGCCTGTTGATTCAAATCTATCTCTGTGCACTGTGATCGACTGACCACGTGCCGTGGCATGTGGCACAGAGAGCAAATCCTCACTTTTCTTCCTCTTTTCTTGCATGGGTAGCCTGACATCGATCTGAACCCACTTCTAGTGCTGAAATCACATCAATTACACCAAGTTAAGCTCTTTTGGCCACACACCTCATTAACACACTTAATTAGTCTATTTGAGTTTAGTTAACTTGATTTGAAATTGAGGATGTTACAACATGTATCACAAATTATCATTTCTTGATTAACTCATTCTCATATCAATCATAATGTATATTGCCATAAGACACTCAGATATGTGATGATAACCTAATTTATTATCTTGACTTGCCACAAACTTAAATAACCTTGTGACACATCATATAATAACATATGCATGACCAAACTATCCTTATACCCTTTTTATTTTCTCTGATTGAAATCGTGGGCTATAATATCAAATAGGACTCTGTCCTTATGACCGGACCACCCAAACTCACCAATTGTGAGGTATGACCTGACTAAATATCACAGGACTCACTCTCAAACCATGACTTTCCCCACTATCGAATCTCTAAGGTGTCATATGCCCTAAGCTGACCTCCTTAATAAACTGG